GCTTGTCTCTGCCCAGCTCTGCTTCCGACTCAGGAGAAGTAACACAGCAGAAAAGAGCCCCAGAGGCCTGCAGAGCCCCGTGACCACAGCTGCAGCCTCGCCTGGTCTCCTGTCATCCCTCCCTGTCTACAAGGGCCATGTGTCATCCCCTTCTCTTCACTTGCTTTTCCTCCTGAAAACTCATCTCTTCCACAGAACTGAACATCTCCCAGTTTGGGCTGGAACAAGGGGCAGCAAGTGCATCTCCCACCTCTGAAACAGCCCCGAATGAAGAGCGCTGGAATGGGGGTGGGGAGCGCTGCTCACTCACATGGTTAAAAAAGGGCCTGATGTGCATAGCTGCATCCTGGACCAGGGGCCCCGCATCCATCCCCAGATGTTTAAAGATGCGGGTGAGTGCCCGCACGCCCTCCTCCACGATCTCAGCCCTGGCAGGAACAAATGATGCCTGGAACAGGGTCTCCACGACAGCCTTCTGGTGTTTTTTTAGCTGTAAAAACAGAAGACACGACACACCGATCAGTGCTTACGCCCCTCACCTCTGGGTTTTCCCATTCAGAGAGCGCTTGAGACCTCATCTGACCATGACCCCATGGCTCCATTCCCGTATGCCTGAGAGACACAAGGCACCTGCTTCTGCACCAAAATTACACTTGTCAAACCCAACTGTCTCCAGAGACACCACAAGGGGTAAGACAGCAAAACTGCATACACTTCCAGTCCTCGCGCACCCTTTCGGCCCTGCCTCATTGTTTGGTCTCTACAGCCGAGCTGCGTTCTAGAGATTGCAGAGCGATTCCAACCTCACCTGCTCAGGGTGATGTTGCCTAGTCCTCTGGCTGACATTTGCCGGACAAGGTTATTTGTGTCCCTGGCTTGCTGCTGAAGTAAATAAAGGACTGCCTTCAGGAGCTTCTGCTCTTCAATGACTGGGTCACACATAACCTAAAAGAAATCAATATGTCCATGAGATCCAGCACAGTCATTCCCAACAGCCCAGCCCTGCAGCAGAAAAGTAACCCATGCCAGAGCACAATCCCACAGATCACCACGAGGAAGAGCCTCAGCACACGGCGCACTCCTGTTGGACATAGGGAGGTTTGTCTGCTTAGAGCCAGGCAAATCATGAAAGCAGGGGCTTAGTCTAAACGGGAGAGATGATGCCGGTGCAAGTAGATGGGGACATTGCTTGCTTTAGAGCAGTGTCTTCCTGGGATGCTGGGTGGGTATAGAAGATGCAGGAGTTAGGACCAAACTCAGAGCTGCTAGCTAGGACAAGGGCTCAGTAGGGGCAGGTCAGTAAGGCAATCCTTGTCTACCTCTCCTACTCATATGGCAGAAGTGGCCATGCAGGGGTCAGGACAGAAGAGAAACCTCTCAACTGCATCCAGTGATCCTCCCTCCTAGAAAGGGGACCAGGGGACTCCCCAGGGAAAGCGCACAGCAAACAGCCAGCTTCCCATCAAACTATGGGGCCTTACCTGGCTGATGAAGGCAGTACCAGTCACACGGAGATTTTCTGTTGGGGAACTGGCCCACTTCAGGACCTGCCCTATAAACTGGGGCGTTATTATTCCCAGTGGGAGCAGAGCCCTGCAAGAGAAAGCCACTAGTTCTGGGACCGGCTGGGCACTGCCAACACTCATTTGCTCTGAGGCGGCAGCTCTCATCGCTTGGAGCACAAGCTCTAGGTCTCCAGCCCCATGCAACCCTGCATGTTCAGCACAGAAAGTTCCCCTCCCCCACTCGTCTCACAGCCTAGAGCACAGATGCAATCCAGCCTGCCTCTCTTACCTGGCCAGCTGGCACACCCCTTCGTGGTGTGTCTGAGGACTCTCCAGTAATGGCCAGGTTCCTGCTTCAGAAAGGTCTGCAGCCACTCTCTCCCCCAGGCCCTTTGATATAGCGCAGGCCAGGGTCTCCATAGAAAGCCTGGGGAGACAGAAGATTTACAGATTTACAGACCATAACGAGATGCTGCGGCCAGAGCAGAACCAAAACGCCCTGTCACTCGGGGGTCCATTACTCAGACACTTGCTGCGCAAGGCAGGCAACTCAGATCAGACTGATGCTGCCATTCTTTCTCACGCCTTGCAATCCCGACAGGGACAGGGAGGGCAGGGCCTTGCACAAATCAGTGCTGGAAGCCAGACGGGACACATGGAGGCTCTCCCAAGCCAAATGCGCTACAGAAAGAACTGGGCAGCCATTTTTCTCTCCCTACAAGGACAAAGGCCACATGTAGAGCATGGGAACATGCAGAAGTCACATGCCCAGGTCCCAAGCACTATGAGCCCAGCATGTGCTGGTCAGTAATGGAGATTGTGAAGTCCCTGGACTAAAACTGCCTGTCCTGTCCCAGAGGAGCTCAGACTGGAGGAATAAATAGGCCCTCCCAGTCTTAACATTTCACACTCTGCGCTTCTCAGACAACCCCAGCTTCTTTCAGCTGCCAGGACCAAGACAGCTCAGCACAGCCCTTGGCAAGGACAAGAACACCTTGCAGGCAGCTAGACTGAAGTGAGGCCAAACCTGTGAAACCAGGTGCAGCCTACTCCTTACCTGCAAGGGTTGCCCACTGTGCACACCTGCCCCTTTCGCAGCTGCCTCCGCCGGATGCTGGCTGTGCGCATCGGCATGTCCTGCCCCACGGTGCGGCCAACTTGCTCTAGAAGAGCACACAGGAGCTCGGGGAGTAGGTCCCTCAGGACTGAGCTGGAGTGCAAGGTAGTCAGCATCTCCAGGGATGCACATGTTGCCTGAAGGGATAGAGAAGACCAGAGTCAGCCTGGGGAAGACACCTGGAAATCCATAACTCCAAGTCTAAAGGTCTCTTCCTCACATCCAGGAGAGCTCAGAACAGCTCTGGCAGCAGCTCCCTTCCCAGTCACATCCCCACACTCCCAGTCACATCCCTTCCCAGTCACTCCCTTCCCAGTCACATCCCTGCACTTCTGCCTGGGAAGTGCAGGGGCACCAGCAGCCTGAACGCAGAGCTGCAAAGCAGAAGGAGCCTCTTGGTTACACAAGTTTCCAGTTCCAAAGTCTCATGGAGTCAGTCAGCCACGCAGCATGAAGCTACCATGTTTCTGCTGCTGAAGTTAGAGTGGGGGTGACCCGGGGGACAGGACAGCAAGGGAGAAAAGCTTGCCCCACGACCTGGCATTCTACCGCAAGCTCTTGAGAACCAGGACTCTAGCCCTCAAGGGGGAACCGACAGAGCTGGGCTTGGGCTGTCACTTACTGCGAGAGGTCCAAGGGCTGCAATGCCCTCAGGTGAGCTACCCTCTGTGCCAGCTGGATACTGGATCTTCTTCAGAAGGAAACGGAGTATATGGAGGGTGGAGAAATCATCCCTCCCCAAGGCCCTCCAGAGCTCAGAGTTGTCACTGCAATTGAACACAAATTACATATGAGCTGCAGATGCTCCTGTGATGTCATGAAGCAA